GTATCATGTATATGGGCCAAAACATCTTATGAATGACTTTTATTTAATGAAATGCCCAACTCAGCCGCGATCTTGCCATGAAGTCTTTATTAGATCACTTCGACACTGAGCTCATCACTACCATCGCCTCCTCCTCCTCCGTTGATACCACTAAAGCTTGCTCCCAGTTGATCGGTACCTGTACCTGTTAGCCCAAAACAAGAAGTGAAGGAAGTTGAAGGAGCTGAGAGCAGACATGAGCCAGTAGAACCGCTCGAGGTGGTAATGATTCAAGCTGCGTCCGGCCATCCACGCCTGGCGGTTTCCGCGGCCCGTCACGTCGTTCACGACGGCCACAAGCAGCGAGCTGAGGTAGTACCCCATGGCCAACGATGCCCAGGACAGCGACGTCGCCAGCGAACGCATCCCCGCCGGCGCCTCGCTGAAGAAGAACTCGAGCGTTCCGGCCAGCGTGAACAGGTCCGCGGAGCCCAAGAACAGGTACTGAAGCGCCAGCCAGAAGAACGAGATCGGAAGTGGCTCGGCGGAGTCGAGCAGGCTGGCGGCCCTCGCCACCCGCTTCCGCTTCGCTTCCACCGACGCCGCCACCGCCATTGCCACGATCGAGAGCGCTAGCCCGAAGCCTATTCTTTGCAGGTGACTGATGCCCGTCTCGCTCCCGGTCACCCTGCGTGCGAAGGGGACGATGGCGTGGTCGTAGAGCGGCGCGAGGAGCATGATGAAGACGACGGGGAAGACGGGGAGCGACGCCGGCGGGACGGTGAGCCCGCCGACTCGGGTGTCCATCGTTGCTGCTTGCTGGATCGAGAAGGTCGAGAGTTGGGCCAAACAGCAGCTTAGCATTACGGTAGAGAGGAAGATGGGCAGGACTTTGACGACGACCTTGACATCCTCCACCTCTTTCGCGGTGCACAGAAGCGCTCCGTGCATGGGCTTTCCTTCCACGGCTCTATTGAGGCACTTCAGCTCTGCATTTGGGCCTTCATCATCCCTCACTTCTTCCTTCGCGTCCACCTCGATAGTCTTCACAGGGCTCGGCGCCATGTCGATGACGGCATTTATCGGATTATGACGACATCTACGGTTCAAGATCGCAGCGACCAGGACCTGGTAGAACAGAGACGTGTCAGTAAAATCCCAACTCGTTGCAGCTTGCGCAAGTTTGAGTGACACCACCTTGGCTATGGTTGTGACAGGACTTCGAGTTGGTATCTTGTTTTTGTACGTGGCGGAGCCGGCGAGGAAGACGGGGACGGAGAGGAGTATGGTTAAGGTGGAGATGCCGAAGCCCCACTGCCATCCTTTGTTGTCCTCCACCCAGACGACGAGCGTCACCGCGACGAGGCCACCGCAGGAGAGGCAGAAGACGAAGTAGTTGAAGAAGGTGGAGCGGGCCTTGCGACCGCGGGCGGTGTTCTCGTCGAACTGCTCCGCGCCATGGGCGGGAAGTGATCCCTTGACCCCGCCCACGCCCAAGGCGGTGAGATAGAGGCCGGCGAAGAGGATCGCCGCCTTGCCGCCGGAGACCTCTTGGCATGGAGCGTGGGAAGCGGCCGGGATTCTGCATGCAGGCGGCTTGAGCGTCGGAGACTTGGCTTGCACAGTGAGGATGACGAGTCCCTGTTACGTTGAAGCAAGGAACAATGGGATCAGTGGAGAACCTGAGCTTTCTTCCTTTTCCACTTGTCCTTCCTCTCCTCAAAGGCAAGATCGAGGAAGCAATTGCCATGATCGATAAAAACATCATCTCTGTGACTACGAGCTTGAATTATCGGTCACACTTGAGGAAATATTCTTGGATGCAGGAAGCGTGCACTCAAAGGCTTGTGGTAGGCCAGAAACTAAGATTTACAGGGTGTCATATTCTAATTAGATAGAAGAAACCAGAGCATGGATTAGCAAAGATGGAGGAGCTGGATTTGATCTCAGATCAAATAGTTGAAGATGCATTCTGACATTATAAATATGTTCTTGAGGAAAGTTGCTGCTACAATGAACTCATGACAGTCAAAGAGGGGACTCAATCTGCTGTGCGAGAAAGGATTCAAAGGATTAAGCTGTTAAGATATTCCAATGATTCATGTCTGAACAATGTAAGACTGGTGAGAGCAAATGAAATAATGATATATGTTTCTCTGAGAGAAATATTATTCGAGGAAGATGAATGTAACATGAGCTCACCAGGAACTCCAGAAGAGCACTTATCAGGTAGATGTGATATGTGGTGAAGACAGCATCAGATAGGAAGCCCCCCAGTAGGGCCAGGAGGAAGGCTGTCCCCATGAAGTTGGTGACAGTGGTGGCTGAGACAGATGGGGAGAGGTGCATGAACTCTGCCAAATAGGTGACCAAGTTGCTTGCATTAGCTAGAAATGCCATATTCTCCATTATCTCCACCACTGCACCAAGTTGCACCTCTCAATATCAAGCTTGTTCATGCACAAATACAAATATGCAAATGCTCATTTGTCATGTTGTGTTCCATCAAAACAGGAAACAAAGCAAAGGAAGACAGAGGAGAGTTGTATCTTGCAGTTTTGTGTCACAGAAACTGCGGAGAAGGAAGTGGACTTGTAGTTTCTAGTGTTACAGAACCTGAGGGTGGATTATGGAGTAATTGGTCAGTCATTATGGATTGGATTTCTATGATGCTTGTCATAGAAGAGCTACATCTGAATCAATTATGGGCAAAAGTTGCCTTACCTCTGGCTCTTAAACAGTTATGCAGGACATATCAGATACTGATTTAGGATCAGAGTGTCAAGCTTGAGATGCATGTGGAACTCAAGTAACAAAGTGAATGATGATTTTGGAGGCTTTTGTTGTGGAGCTACCTATACAGGAACAAAGGAAGCTAAGACCTTTGGCAACTCAAACAAGAAGTTTGTTCCTAGGAGTGACTTGTTCCTATGAGTTGACTCTGTACTGAAAGTACACTAGCAACAAAACCTGAAGAATAAGAAAAATGAACTTTTTCCTATAACAAGGAGAAGTTCTTAGGAGTGAGTTGACTCTACACTTAGCAAGAACAACTGAAGACTTAGAAAAAATGACTTTTTACTATGTGGCAAGGTTACCCAGCACAAAAGAGGCTGCAACCATTCCTCCATGCTTGCTTCTCAAGGCAGGTCTGTTCCTCCAATCCACATAACCAACCCATCTTTCAGATTCATGCCCTTCTTCCTGCTGTGAAGAAAGAAGAAAGCCAGGAATCGACTCACTGGAACAAAAGGATCCTGAGAATAAAGAGAGATAGTTAGAGCAGAGAGAAAGGTGACCGACCATTTTGGTTTCTGCACTCTATCAGCAAGTTGGTTGGACCTCTGACTGGAAGAAGAAGATGAAACAATGCAAGTGACTAAGGAGAGAGTTAGGATGGATCCTTATTTAAAGGCAGAGAGGCCCTACATAAGACAAATATCTTGAGTTCCCAACCTTACCAGTGAAAGTGACTGGTCATCAAAGAATGAGTCCATGTCAACAGTGTACCTACTGGTTCTGCTTCCTTCCTATCCTTTGATCATCATCTCCATAAGATGCAGGTTAGTGTCTTGTTCCTCCTGTTCCTATTTCTTTCATTTTGATACTAAAAATTTCACCTAGAATTAGGAAAAGGTTGATATGGATGACAGGTTCTTCTTATCTTCCGTTGCTTGGCCACAGAAATATATACTACAAAAAGGGTTAGGGAATCACATCCTATTCTCTTGTTTGAATATCTATACACATCTAATACAAAACCTTATTGTCATGACCATCCTATCAGTAGCTTGGTGTGATTGTTCCCATTTCACTGGTATAGGGAACTGGAATGTGTCTTCTTGACTGCTTCTGCACCAAGACAGTAGAAAGGTCAACGAAAATACAAGGGATTGAAACTGATATGCTTGGTCAGACCATCACCAAAATAATTTCAGTCAAGGTAAGAAGTTAATTATGTCATCAACCTTTTACCTTCTTGGTGTGTATGGGTAGGGATGGCATGCATATGATGGAACAGGACATGGAAAAACTCCAATTTGTGTTGGAGCAAAGAAAAATTCATTTGGCCAAGAGAGAGACATATGTTGGTTTCCTTTAGGTCCTGTCAGTTTTGCACTTTGAACAAAGAGCACTGATGCATATGAATATAAGAATCTAGAATCAATCTCTGGTCTGCACAAAATCAAGGTGAAGTTTCCCTCAGAAACAAACCAAGGTCAAGTTCAAGTGTTCCATCCAATGCAAATTTAGCATCAGGCCATCTGCCTTGTCATAGTATTCTCATGCATGCATTATTCTGCAGATGTACCTTGCTGCTGCACAGTGTTCTATTTGGACTGTAGTGTGATTTGCTTTGATCAGGTCCACCATCAAGATTAGGACCACCCCATCAATCAGAATTAAAGTTCCAACCTAGTGGCAATGATGAACCATCCATTGTTGTCTCATTGAATCTTTTGCAGCAACACTGCTTTATAACTTTGCCAAATTCCAAAGCCTAAAGTCAGATGCATTTGACAGCAAAGTAATGCAGGATTGATGTATGGTTTGTCCCAACTATTATTTGGATCCATTATTTGTTGGACAAATAGTTGTCAGTCAGGTTTCTGAGTTTTATTTTAAGCAACACTAGAATTTCTAATAGCTTCAGCAAGCAAGAAATTGTCAGCTTAAATTGTCTCCTCCATCTTCTGAATCTTTTTGGGATTCATTGCATTGAAGTTGCATCCCCATCTTGTTTCTTCATATTCCTTTTCTTCTCATGGTCTTGTTTGGCTTCATGGTTATGTTACATCCTCTGTCCTATGCACCTTTTGCAAAAGATATCACTTTTATGATCATTATCATTCTAATGCATTCTTTATTATCTGCTACCATGCTGTAGCCAACAAAAGACATTTAATCAATTTCATACTGATCACTTCAAAAGTTCTAAAGCATAGTCAGAACTCAGAACACAACTGAAGAGTTTGAGTTTCTTTCATAAACATAAGTGAGCTGCCAATTTTGTTACTGATGGATGCATAATACACAATGAGACGAATGTAAAAGCGAGATTGAAAAATCTCTAAAAATATTTTCATATTGCCGAACATATCGTTGACTGATATTCGACGTAACGTATATTCGGATTGAGTGAGACTCATGATTGATCTTAAAATGTTAACATGGTATCGAAGCTAAGACCCAAAAACAAAACAATAAACATATTGTTGGGTATCGAAAAAGTTAGATGATGTATTTTGAATTTGATATAATATGTTAAACATTACTAATTTGACTCATAATCAATAAAAATAGAAAAACACTAGTAAAATCAAGTGATATATGCTGAGTAACAATCAACGTAAAATCCCAAGAGAATTCCCGACCTCAGTTTAGATATTGTTGATGATATGATATGATCGTCAAGAAAATGATACACGTTGCACAACCGGAGTAAAGAGGAAAAGCATTGTCGACGTAGATCTGGTCAAAAATTTCAGTTGACTTCTCACACTTCAAGCTTTTAATCTGTCGGTCGCAAGAACGCGGCTTCTGTACAAGTAATTCGAGCCCAAAACGCATGCAGAGCTTTGGGTTCGCTTACTCTCAGATATTGAATGCTCCTGATTGACAGTTCCAATTCTGTATAGTATCTTCCAAGCTGTAAAGAGCTCGACAAAGAAGGTCACTCACTAGTGGCACTGCGCCGGCTGCTTTAGAGCTTAAAGCACTCCATAATCTCGGTAAAGGACAAACCATCTGATGCACCAGAACAGTGACCTAAGTGCTTCAGGTTGTGATTAGAAAGAACCTTTTTGGTGCCTTCTTTCCCTCAAGAAACTATGATTTCATTTGTGCTGGTTGCCACTTGACATATTAATGCATTTGATGGAATGGTGAAACAACAATCCCACTCTTGCATGGCTTTGACACATCAAGCAAAGCAAGAAGAGAAGTGGAAATAATAGGGGCCATTTTTGGTGCCAAAACAATACTTTTATGTCAAGAGGGCATGAAAAGAAGAAACTCATGTCAGCTTAATAATTGAACAGTTGTTTGGATCATATTTTATTCTTCAAAAGAAAGGATAGTTTTAATTGGAAATATTCAAATTATTAAAAAAAGTTATGCAAAATTCTATGTCAAAAAGGCTTGTGAAACATAATCTCAAGCTTGGGAACAGAAGAATGATGATTAAGTGGAGTAATGCATGTTAATGTTAAGACTAATTTTTTGCTTGTTTACCTAAATCAATGCCCAAATAGGCCCATGAGTTGGTTCATAATTTCATACAAGAAAGAATAAATTAACAGTTCAAAAATATTGCATCTCTTTCTTTTGCAAAAACATGACCTTCATGTATGATATGCACATCATCCCAAGTGAAGAAATCATAAATTGATATTGCTTAGAAATGAATTGTCTTGGGATTGTGTGGAAAGTCTAACATCATAGCCATCTTTGTATCTTCTTGATTGCTTCCCCCTTCAACCTTAAGGAATGATGTGGTGAGGACCTTCCTAGATTGGACACCTTAAATACTTGGTAACTCAGTATTTTTTTTTCTTTTTTAATTTATACATCTAAACATAAATTTATTGTATATGTATAATTATAGTTAATCTTTGTTAGTTAACTCTTAATTTTTATTGGTTACTTTAAATATCAGTATAATAAAATATCATAAATTTTCTACATTTTATTTTCAATGAATCAATATTGACTCTGATTTGCAGTGGTTAACTTTTTCAAATGGAATGTTAAACAGTGATATATATATATATATATATATATATATATATATATATATATATATATATATATATATATATATATATATATATATATTGACTTGACTATTGTAAAATTACAAAGAATATAATTTATTTTTTGTTTAATACAGATAGAAATTTAAAGAAGACAACATAGAAATATATATGAGACATGAGCCAAAATAAGGCCTCTACAGTCTCAAACAATTTAAATATATAATACTTAATCTCTTCTCAACCTTCACTTCCTACATATGGCTCTCTTCTCTGAGAAGGAGCACGTACGTGCTCTCTTTCACTTGTTCAAGCTATTCCGGGATATCTTTCCCTTCCTCTCTGCCTCCACGCGATCTCTGAAGAATCTTCAGCATGGGCGGCCGGGAAAGCAGTTGAGAGCACCCGAGAAGCGCGTAAGTCTAGTGACGAAGGACCCCGGTTTGGCCTTGATGAGATCCTTCGTGTTGAACTTCATCCTGTTCGGAGGTCCGGACTCCACGAAGAACGCTCCGTTCTGCATCAGGTCGCCCTCCGATCTCCATGTCCAATCCTTCCATACCGCCTGCGGCGCGTAGTCCCTCTTGGTCACCTACGAGACAAGACGAGACATTCCGCTAGGAGTTCAGAGGACGCGATGGCGGTGCATGCAGAGGGTGGAAGATGAAGGCCTGGCCTACCTCCTTGGCAGCGAGAGAATGGGGAGCAATGTATCGGTTGCCTTGGCTGAGGATGGTCGGGTGTTGGCTGCCGCCGACGGCATACATCAACCAGTGCGTGTAGTCGTTGTTCACGACATGGACAAAGCCCCATCGGCACCTGTGAAGAGAAGTTAACGTGCAGGGTGAAGGAGGACTACAAATGCAGGGTGGATGTGTCTGATCTCTGACCTCGGCATTCTCTGGACGAGGCCTTTCCCGAAGTGGTTGAAGGCAACTGTGATTTGCATCATGGCATCTCCCTGATAGGAATCGCTGGCACCAAACAGCATCACCTGAATCGATAGCGCATAAGATGAGAATTCAAATGCACGGGCGCGTAGGTACTGGTAATTGACCGGGTCGTGACTTACGTCGTTGTGTTTTGTGAAGTGGGAGTTGGAGATGGTGATGGCTGTGGAGCCTTGGATCACGTCGATCAGCCCATCCATGCAGTTGGACATGGAGACGTGATCTATCCAGATGTTGCTGGAACCGTAGATGGATATGCCGTCACCGTCGCTCCTGGTGCGTAGGCCGAAGTGATGCTCGGAGTCCCTGATCATGCCGCCGTTGCCGGCCTTGATGTCGTGGATGTGGAGACCGTGGATGATGACGTTGTGCACGAACTGGAGCATGATGCCGGCGCCGCCCATGATGTGGACGTTACTCCCCCGGGCGTCGATGGTCTTGTCGCTGGTGACAAGGAGCTCCTCGTTGAGGCGGATGATCATGTCGCTGGCGAAGACGATCCACAGCGGCCGGTCCTGGATCACGCCGTACCGGAGCGTGCCCTTCTTCGGGCTGATGAGATCGTTGTCGGATGCGTCCGTGACGACGTACAAGTCCCCGTTCTTCCCGCCGATTGTGTGCCGGCCGAAGCCCTTGGCGCACTTGGCCAGGCGCTTGCGGTTTTGCATCCAGTCCTTCTTGCACCTCCAGCACCTGTCGATCGGATTCGTCGCTACGCATGGGCCGTTGAACTTGTGCTTGCCGCGAAGGCTCCTCCTTGTGACGTTCCCTTCCAGATCCCTGCATGCAGCATCATCATTACTCCAAAGCTAATACCGTAATGGTTCTGCTGTTGTTCTTCTTGGAGGAGGAGAATAACACGAGCGGAAAATAAGTGGACCTACTTGCTCACTGCCTCGTTGAAGCTTTGGGTGACTGACTCAGGGTCGGGGTTGTACGATCCTTGAGCTCTGTCGCGTGCCGCTTCAGCCTTCTTCTGCCAGTACTCGTCGAAGTCCCCGATGTGGGCATTAGAGAAGGCAGCGGAGGCCAGGAAGAGGAGGTAGAAGAGGAAAAACCTCGGCCTCGACTCCATCACACAAACCTTCTCCTCCTTCCCTCCTTGGTGTACGATTTCTCCTTCCAAAAACTCTATACGATTCCCTCTTCTCTCTGGTGGAGCACCAGACCGGACCAGAACAGTCGACCGAACTGGTGGTGGGTTTGATGAGGGTTGGAAGAGTTCGATGGCACTATTATATAAGGAGAAGGAAGGTGGCGAGAAGGGAGGGGAGCCACAGCCTGGCAATCTATATATAGTTTGATGGAGAGGGGAAAACACCACCACCGGCGTCGATCCATCTTTTACTCGTACCGACTCAATCTCGTTCTCTCAGTTCATTCTATCTTTAGATCAAAAGGCTTATATTTGCTAATTTCGAAGTGTCACTCAGTTCGTTCTTTA